TATATATATTATATATATACTATATAATAATATAATATAATATATATTATATATATATATATATATATATATATACTACACCGTACCTATTTGTTATGAATTCCCGACCCAAAGTCATCAAACAATCATACGTCAACCTTTAAATTCTAATAAATAGTCAATAACATACCGATTAGAGCGGTGTAGTTGACCATCGAGGATGTTCCGCTACACGCTGTCCGGATAGCCTGACAGCGAGCTGTTCTGTTAGAAGCTACGTACGGCATATCATGTGCAGCTCGACATGACAGCAATGGTTCGGGTGCGGGTGCGGGTGACGGGTCAGTCGAGGTCGTTGCCAGAGATGCAGAAACCACAGCAGATGCACTTGATTGGCTGATATCATGGTTGCCTGCAGGAAGGGCCAGTGTGATAGCGATGCATCAGTAGACGGCATAATGAGACGAGCATATGAGGCTCGTGCATACAATAAGTGATACATGGCAAACTCGGGGTATCTATTTATAGAGCAGTAACTCAATAAGCAATGCATGAATACAGAATAACAGCATGCTACACAAATCATCACATATATTGAATCGACTTCAAACGGATTACTTATTTGTGCAGAGATTGCGATCCATCACTAGACGTGTGTGCAATAGTGTGAAATCGAACCAACAAAAAAACAGGCCCACATACAACAATACGCAGACCAGATTCGACTACACTTGTTGTCGAATAAGAATACGGATAGGCTCAGCACTACTCAAAAACATGGCTATACTTTCTCTTCGCATAGATACTCTGACTCTGCCTCTGACCAGCCTGATGTCTTGCTCGCCACAACGACATAGATAAGTACAACCCCTGCACCGTGCTGTGAAAATTAAAATTTAACAATAACCCTATTTGAATAGACAATCAGCATCATACCTCCACTCCTTCCTTGAGCAGTAGAGCTCCAAATATGGCTCTCGCTGAAAGAACCACCTATTCGCACCTTTTTATTCCTCAGCGCGTGTTTGTACTGCTCGGCAATAGTGTCTCGGCCGTAGTTGTATCCCTGCAGATTGTGAAACTCATCTGGACCAGCTTCAGAAGCGGCATTAGAGAAAGTACGCACAGACGCAGACACGGTATTCAACAATGAGCACAGTACCAGGCAAAGGTATAGCACTTTCGATACAGCAGGCAATCCTAACATATGCGAGCGTGAACGCTCCATTAACTTATCCCACATAGCTCCACACAGGCTCTGTTGATGAACGCTTATTCTATCAAATGCTCACGAATGTATTAGACAATACACCATTAAATGTACGACATTATCCAACGCATAAAGCAGAGTTGTTGTTATCTACATATGTAGGGCACATCTCGTTTGATATTTCCGTATGAATGTCGGTCCTAAAGCAGCGTGTACCCGTGTGTAGCAACAACCAACAAAGATGTACAGAAAAATGCGATGAGTCATCGCACAACCCACAGATATGCTAGGAGTCGTTTTTTATTGCACTTTTCGAGTACTCTTGGGTTTATAAAACTCCGATCCCTAAAACCCTAAACGACGTAGCCGCTTTTCAGCCAATCATATTCAGACGGTGCGATGACTCATCCATTTTTATCTCCAAGCCACACAATCCACACAAATTAATGACGTCACATGGATGATATATCTGGTAGCTACGCTCGCATTGGGTAATACGAACGGATACTATTCCTGACATTGACATCTGCTGGAAATTGGAATATGTATTTTGGTATTTTTACTATTTACGGTAAAATATTTCACTACATTTGTTATATTTCAATTTGAATTTAGACAAAGAAAGAAATATGTATTTACGTTAAAAATATCAATTAACGTTCAGCCTTAATCCAAAAACCCTAGATCTTAAAACATAATAATGTCCCTCAAATATAGAGCAAAATAGCAGCCTGCATGTTTCCAGGCCCGATAAACGTTAAACCGTGTATTGAAACCGAAAAAGTAAAAACTAAAATTAGACTTCAGGGCCAGGCCCACTGGGCAAACGCCAAACAAAGTTGTAAATACAAGCCAGTCACAAACACTAAAACAGGTTTGTTTATTATTTTAGTGTACATATAAATAATACTAGTATTTTTGTAATAATCACAACGCCGTTTGCGCTGGTGGGTCTATCGCCACTTCATCTCTTGAACCTGATACAAAGCATACATTTCTATCCGACTCGGCAGATTATCACCGTACACATAAATGGCTGCTAGTAATCTCAGATAATTATGCCGGGGGACATCATGATTGTGGGTCTGAACGGTGCTTTGCAACGTACCATTACCTTGAATAGCCTCGCACAAGGGGCCGTCAATCGCGGACAGAGTGTTAAACAAGGGATTGGTGGTAAAGGGCAGAATGTATACGTAGCAGCAAAGAAATGTCAGGAAACATCGCTCCCCGTAAAACTAGTGCAGTTTGTGGGATCAAGTTTTGAAGGTGAGTATCTCACCCAATTGCTGAGCAGTCTGGCCAGAGAAAACACGCGCAGAACATCAATGTCTGAGTCTGACCTACTGACAGTGCGAACACCAGGAAGACAGCGAACAGCAATCACATTAGTAGACAATGGAAAGGGAGGGGAAGCAACGGAAATAGTGGAGCCAGGCGAGATCGTACCAACGGATTGTGTGGACAGTCTCTTGCTTACATTGAACGAGCGTTACAAGTTTACGAAGGTTAGTGCCATCGCATTCATGGGTAGCATGCCTCCAGGGTGCCCTAAGAACACATACTGTGGTATACTCAGATTAGTTGCGGACGAAAACACAAAAGTACTGCTCGACACGGTAGTTTTAGACGACGTGTTTCAGACGTGTGTGGAGATGCAATGTGAGGTAGTACTGAAGGTAAACGGAAGAGAATTGTGCTCTTTAGCTGATATCAAAATCCAGACCACGTGCGAATCTGTGTTTGCGACACCAAAACAGGCTTTAGAAGATGCAGCGAACAATATCTTTGTCAAATACGCAGTAGTGCATACAATTGCTGTCACAGATGGTGCCTTTGCCGCTCACGTCTTTCGCAGGAAAACATCTGATGATTGTAGGTATATAGGGTTTGGCAGAACAGAATTGGCGCTTCCAAAACTACCCTCCGCAGATGTGAATCCTATAGGCGCAGGCGATGCGGTTGCTTCGGGCACGTTAATTGCCTGGGCAACCTCTAGGAATGAAAGGATCTCTGTGAGGGACACTATAAACGAAGCATTCAAGTGGGGGCTGTGTTGTGGGGCAGCATCGTGTTTGTCATCTAAGTGTAGTACATTTGAGAGGAGTTTGGCAGAAGAATTATATGAACAGATCAAATAAGCGGCTCTGATAGACAGTACAGTACAAGGTTGCTCAACAAACCTGAAACGCATATCACCGACTAAAACGCTATGTTGCCAAGATAATGAGTCACGCAGTTGTTGTAACTTAGCAAAAACGATTGCCCATAGCCTTCTAAAAAAAGGGATCTCTTCTAAATATTATTTTATTTGTGTGACCTATAACATTTCTGGGTATACGCCGTGGAAACCCAACTGCACAATGGAACTACAGTATGGTCTCCCAGTTTCACGGTTGCCGTAGTTGATTTAGCTTGGTCGTGCTAGAATTACTTGGGATATATATCGCTACTTCTTCATAGTGGACAGGTGGTAGCTACACACGCTAATAGTCTGTATTTATAAAAAATTTATATCAGTGTAAAAGCCTATTTGCACTTGAGCCTAAAAATACGACAATTCACGAATTGTATTGCATATATATGCTCCTCGGAAATATTCAGAAAAACTACTATCACGAAACCGGCACACTCGCACAATCGTCAGTCGTCAGTCTGCAACTCCGTATCATCACAGTCGGAGTGTCGGACACATTGGCTTGTTGGTATTTCAATATGTAGTTGTTTACCTTTGTGTTTTGTAAAAAAAATAGAAGGTATTGGTAAATATGAAAATATTTTTAACGTAAATAGGGCCAATTTCAATTGTTTTTTAAAAACAATATCTACCCTCGGCAGATGAACCTCTCTTCTTGAGTGTGATGGATTTTGGAATTTAGGTCAAGCCTCCAAAAAGTCCAAGCCCAAGCCCCAAGGTCCATTTCGACTTTTTAAATTTATAAAATTTATAAATATTTTGTTTTAAAAAAAACCAACAATATTGAATTTTGAGAGGTTCTAACAACGTATATCTGTAAATACATGCTTTAGGGGTTGACTGAAGAATAAGCTAGCGGGGGACATTGTTTACATCCCATCGCAGACCAAGCATGTTCTCATCTACGCAGGAGGATACACCGCACGTTCAGGCGTCGCGTGCGAGTCAGTGGCTGGCATGGGCAGTGACTAAGGCACGGCGTAGTGAAGCCATCGTGCCCACGACACACAACACAGAGAGTGCATCTAACCCCACGACAGAGGGCTCCAGGGAAGCGAATAATAAACAAACTACAGAATCTGAGGACAGCCAGAATGCAGACGTTGACAATAGTCTAGGCGACGGTTCCGCGTCCGCTGTAGATTGCGCACCGCTGAGTCGCTATGGGCAGTTCATGTCTTGGGTTGGATCGAAAAGGAATTTAGAGGCGTCACCGGATGCCAATACAAGTAATGTAGTACCTTCTACGAGCAGTGTTAGTAGATCATCTGAATATGCAAAAGAAGTATCGCAAGCCACCACCGATTTAAACACATCCGTAAGCGGTGACGCGCCTTCTAGCATAGCTCAGTTTGTGTCGTGGATTGGCAGCAAGAGGAAGCGCAGCGCAGCCGATGAATTGAATCCTAAAGCTCAGGGGGTGGTACTGAGGAAGATCAACGCAGACAACGAAACACTTAACCCAGAGGAAAATGGATATACAGGCAAGTGGGTCAGGCGGAGGGCAAGCAGTGAGCAGGTGGCCAGTATACAGGCACGTGCCAGTGCACACGATAGTAATAAGTCGGAGCCAGCTAACGGTAGTTCGAGTGCTGACGGTGGTGCGGTGGGGTCTGGTCTGCAGAGGTATATGACCAGCATGTTTGCAATGAAGACCGCTAGTCACACTGCAGGTGTAGATAGTACGTGTACACCTGATGATGGCTCTGAGTCCTCGCCAGGCGACGTTGTGAGCAGCTCTATAGTGGAGATGGACCGCTTACGTGTCGAGGTCGCTGCACATGCACAGAGTAGCCCGCCTACATCTGATGACTCACAGACAGAGCACGGCACACCCGTAGGCGACAACGGGGAGGAACGCGTACAGCAGTTTGTGCACACGACACTAGCGTCGCTGCCTAACGTTGACCAGCAAGCAACCATGCAGCAGCATGCCACTCAACTCACCTCTGATGAGGCTAAGTCCACGTGGGAGGGGTTGTTCCAGAGGGCTGGACGGCCGTTGGTAGCGGCTGTGCTTATTCTGTTTGAGATTGTAGTGACGTACAAGCGCACTCAGGCCGTCAACAAGGCGGAAGTGCTGCGGTTTGCTGTGGCTGTGGCTGCTCTCGTGTATGTTGCTGCACCCATTGACCTGGTGCCAGATGTCGTCCCGGTGGCGGGGCTGGCTGATGACTTTGTTGTGGTGTCTAATGCACTGTTTTTCATTGTCACTGTTATTCCGAGGTTAATGGGCGAACGAGCGGAGGTGCCAGCATGAAGATTGTGCATATATCAAGTGATGTACTCATGTGGTTATGTAGAGCTGTATGACCTGTGTCTAGTACACGATTAAACACAAGTTGCATTTTTTCATTCCAGTAGACTATAGAGTTAAGCAATACCTTGATATCACCATTTGCACTGCGTTCTCATCTGCTACCACGTGCATTCTGTTCTTATATACTATCACTTGCACTGTGTTC